CAGACTTCCCACCTCCCGTCAGAACAAAATACAAATAGTAACACCCCCTTCCTCTAAAGAAAGAAAAGGACCCTGCCATTGTATCTCAGATTGGGAGAGGGAAAGGCATTTTCATTAGCAATTTTTGGTTCTGGTATTTATGTAGTGGGGTCTTAATGACATTTGATTGGGTGTATAGTATCAGGCCAGCCCTCAGGTGGGTTTCCTTTGCTTTCACAGAGTGAATGCATTGTGGAAATGGTAAAGTAAGTAGTCATGACTAGTTAGTGGCTTCTAACTAGTGTTCTGTGAAATACTCTGCCCGGAGTGCTCAGTTCAGTAAACATCCTGAGCACTTGGATGTGTGACACCATGTGAGGGGCAAGAAGCTGAGAGGATCTCTAGGGAGACTGTGGCTTTCATGACTGTCCAGTAGGCAGTAGCTCACCAGCCAGCACAGGAGGCCCTCAGTCGGCTAGAGATTCAGGATGGTTTTGCTCCCTGATCTAGTCTTTGAGCATCCGCTGTTGTGTCCTACTACAGCATCACTTCCCAGGAGGAGATTTTGTCAGTGTAGTTCACTACTGTGCCTTTCATGCTTAGAGGATGCCAGATGCTTCTTGCCTAATGCATGCTTGAAGCCCTCATATCCTCTTGGAGTGTGTGTGTCTGTGTGTCTGTGTGCGTGCATGTGTGTGTGTGTCTGTGTGTGTGTGCGTGTGTGTGTGTGTAAGTAAGCCTTTCTCCCTCTGGATTGGTGACAGTGTTGTTAAGGTTATAAATCAGAAATGCCTAGCACACTGCTTGACTCATTGTAAGTACTCAGTAAATGGTGGCTACACAATCCAGGCCTGCTGGCATTGTTGCCACTGTCGCCACTCTGACTCTTTTGAGCCAATAGGTGAAGTGGGTCTCCACTCCCTTGAGTCAGGTGGACAGGGTGCCTTTCTCAAGGACAGGTGCGAGGGCTGAGATGCCCAGGAAGGTGTGCTCGTCCTTCCAGGCCTGCCTCCCATACGTCTTCTGTGGGCCCTGCAGTTGGCCTGCTCTGACTCTTAGTTTTTGCTTCCCTCTTGACCCATTCAGGCCTGGTAGAAAGAGTTATCTGTGAGCATGGCGGGGGGTCCCGATAATCTATTATGGTTTTAGTGTCTAGGACTGTCATGACACTGACTCATCTCTTTAGCCCCCGTTTGCAGCGAGGGCCCAGCCCAGCCCAAAGCAGGCACCCAGATGTTTGGTGAACTGGGGCAAGTTTTTCCTGTCCAGGAGCCATAATGTAGTATTTGTAGTTTTCCTCATTGGAAGGCATGGCTCCGTCTGCCAAGAAAGACAAGGCATGTAGTCACCATGCTGCTGCCTCACACTGATATTTATAAAGCCAGGTCTTCTGGAGAAGGAAGCAGGAAGGAAGGCGACTTGCTTTGGGGCCCATAGAGTTTCAGTAGTTGTGGGAAGTTGGCTGGGCTGTGTGTGTGTTGCTGCACTGGTGCCTGGTCTTCTTTGATAGCTCTCAGGAGCATGAGGTTGTGCTTAGCAGTTATGTCCCATCAGTCCTCTTGGTCTCGATCAGTTCACATGCTCCCAGGGGCCCATGTATCAGAAGGGCTGCTGTTGCATGATGCTGTCCATGGAAATCACTGCAGTGATGAGAGGAGCAGTGGCTTCGGCCTGTAGACTCAGAGACCTTTCACTATGACTCAGCATGGGAAGCTGAAGCTCAGAGAACTTCAGCCTGTCTCATCCAGGGCCACCAAGGGAACAATTGGGCCATGTCTCCTGTTGTATTTAGAGTTGGAGGCTGAGGAGAGGTGCCTGTCTGCCTTCTCTGCTGGTCCTGGGTCTACCTGTTGCAGGGACCCAGTTCTAAGGGACCTGAATCAATTCAATCTACTGCCTCAGCCTTTCAGAGGCTTCTCATTGCTTTAGGCCAAAGGCTGTGCTGCTGAACATGGCCTTCAGGGTCCCATGGGGTCTGACCCCTGTCATTTCCTCTGTTGCAGGCCCACTTGACTTCTTTCACTTCTTCAGATATATCATCTTCCCATCAGGCCCTGCCTCAGTCCCTTTGCAGGGAGGGCTCTCTCTTCTCTGATTACTTCTGTTCATTCTTCAGAGAAGCCTTCCCTGTACCTCCCACTCCTCACTGCCGTGCTTCTCCTTCACAGCCCTTACTGCTGCCTGTAGTTACTGTATTTCTTTGTGTACTCATCTGTGGTCCAGCTCCCTTGCAAGACTGGGAGCTCCATGGGACAGGGACCCTGGCTGTCTTGTCTCTGGTTTACCCCAGCGCCTCATGCAGCCTGGCACATGGTGGGTGTCCAGCATCAACTTGAGGAAGAGTGATGAGGGAAGGCTCCAGACCCTTCCAGGAGCAGAGTTGCTCTACTGCTCCTGCTCCTGCTCCTGCTGCCTGGGGCTCATCATCCTCTGCCCTGCACACCTGTGGCAGGGGGGTCTGCCCACACCCACCTGCCTTTGTGCCACACTCCCTTCCCTAGCAAGACGATGGTTCCTCTCAGCACTGTCTTTTTTGTTTGGCCTCCTGATGAGAGGTGAAGCCAACTGGACTTCCTGGGTCGAGTGGGGACTTGGAGAACTTTTCTGTCTAGCTAGAGGATTGTAAATGCACCAATCAGTGCTCTGTGTCTAGCTACAGTATTGTAAATGCACCAATCAGCACGCTGTAAAAACACACCAATCAGTGCTCTGTGTCTAGCTAAAGGATTGTAAAGGCACCAATCAGCACTCTGCAAAATGGATCAATCAGCACTCTGTAAAATGAACCAATCAGCACTCTGTAAAATGGACCAATCAGCAGGACGTGGGTGGGGACGAATAAGGGAATAAAAGCTGGCCACCCCAGCCAGCAGTGGCAACCTGCTCAGGTCCCCTTCCACGCTGTGGAAGCTTTGTTCTTTCACTCTTCACAATAAATCTTGCTGTTGCTCACTGTTTGGGTCCGTGCCACCTTTAAGAGCTGTAACACGCACTGCAAAGGTTTGTGGCTTCCTTCTTGAAGTCAGCGAGACTAAGAACCCAGCGAAAGGAACCAATTCTGGACACACTGGGAAAGACGTTACCTTCGGACACAGTGTTGCTCACTTTTTTGACTGGGATCAGACAGCAGATAATACACGTTTGTATGTAAATGTATACTGTCAGTGTGTACATAAAACCGAAAGAAAATGTCACTACTACATATAGTAAAGCTAAGTACTATTTTCTCTTTTAATACTAAAGAAAATGCTTGTCCCCTCAAAATTGATTTCATATCCTCTTAATTTGATATCCCTGGCTACCAGTGGGTTACCACTCAAGTTTAGAGAAGCCCATTCTGCAGGACTGCTTGGCTGTGCAGCTGGTGCTCCCTCCCTCCCTGCTGCATCTTCCTCTCCCTGCCACTGTGGGATGGGGCTGAGGTTGTTCCCTTGGGTAAGAGGCTGTCCCTCCCTGCCTTCAGCAGTTTGAAGGATTCTCAGGAAGACAGGCAGGCAAGGCCTGTGAGTCCTCTGCCTCAGGTGCCATAGGGTGCAGTTCAGGGCTGCACCCGGCATGTCACAGCCTCCCTGGGTGCACCAGGAAGAAATCACTTATTCTTTGTGGTGTGGGTTTTGGAAGAGGCTAGTGATGGTTTTGCTGTGAAGATGAGTTTTGACTTAAAGGGCTTGAGAGATGGAGAGGGACTGGCCAAAGGGAAATGCAAGTTCAAAGACAGCCGTGCAGAGGCAAGGAAGTCAGAACAGGGTGTGTCTCACAAGTGGCGTGGGTTCTCCTGCCGGGTGCATAGGGTGCTTAAGGGGGTGAGGATAGAAGAGGAGCTGAGGAGGCCAGGGAGTCCAGGGTGAAGGGATAGGGGTGTCTGCCCTTTGGGCAGTAGGGAACCAGTGGAGCTGTACCTATCTGAAAGTTCTACAACAAGAGTATTGTTTCTTAGATGTTTGGTTTATTTGAGGCCATGCATGTTTTATTAGGTGTTTGCTCCAATGTGTTAGAATTGGAAGGATGATGTACTCATCTGTCCAGGTAAATGTCTAGAGTATTTTGGAAAGGATCTTTCTGATGACACCCTCCCAGATCCTCAGGATCAAAAGACATCATATCAGAAGTAAATATATTCTAACTTTGGACATTAATGCTCCAAACTTGAATGCCAACTGAAGCCTGGACCACAGCAGAAAGCAGCCTCGCAAAGTCCTTGGTTTGAAGGGCAATAGCTTATTAGAGAGTGGCTGTATTAATTTGCTCTGACTGCTGTAACAAGTTACCATAAACTTGATGGCTTAAAACAACACATATTTATTCTCTGATGGTTTGGGAGTCCAGAAGTTCAAAATCAGCTTCACTAGGCCTAAGTTCAAGTGTCGACAGGACTGGTTTCTTTGGAGGCTCCAAGGCAGAGTTGGTTCCCGGCCTCTTCCAGCTTCTGGTGGCTGTTGGCATTCCTTGGCCTACGGCTGGCTTGCTGTAATCTCTGCTTCCCTGGCCACATCGCCGTCTCCTCTTCTGCAGTTGAATCTAGGCCCACTCCTGAGATAACAGCGTTAATCTATTCATGAGGACTGAGCCTTCATGGGCTAATCACCTCTTAATGGTTCCACCTCTTAATACTGTCACAATGACAATTACATTTCAACATGAGCTTTGGAGGGGATGTTCAAACGTCCATAGCAAGTGACCTCTGGCTTGCAGGCCTGCCACCTGACAGGTTCCCTATTTGGCCTGCCTTCTTAGTTGTGTCTTTGTATTTCATTGTAAAAGGCATGCATGTGTATAAAAAGAAAAATCAGCCATTGCTGAGGGGTGCGCAATTAAAAGTGAAAGTCCTTCTAAGTCCACTTCCCAGAAGTCACCACTAGAACTGAAACTGGTTATGTATGCGCCCTGAAATTTGCTCAGTGTATATGTGATCTACACAGAGGGATCATGCAGTATCCACTGTTTTAGTGTGTAGCTATTTCAGTGACTTAGAATTCCACTCACTCTTCCCTCAAACATGGTTTCTCTATATTTACCATGTCATGAGGCCCACTTGCGCCAAAGCTGTGCTCTTACCTGCAGGTGAGTCAGGAGGGGTTAGCAATGGTGGGGAGTGTAGGGCCACTTGCCATGCCCCTTTGAGCTGGGACATTTTATTAGGCACTGATCTGGAATGTCTTAACTTGTTAGTCTTTATTAGAGCTCTTGTTCTAACAGAGTTCAGCTATATGAATGTGCCCTAATTTAACCAGTTTCCTAGCCATGGACATCTGCTTGTTTCTACTTTTTTGTCATTTCAAATAGCATTTTTCTGGTATCCGTGTGTGTGTGTGTGTGTATATATATACACATATATATATATATCTGGGTCCTTGTGAGAGTATATTTGAGGAATTAATTTGTGGAGGAGGAAATACTGAGTCAACTTTATTGGGATGGCTACAGAGGAACCCCCCCCAACCACCTCCTCCCTGCACCCCCAACCTTTGTTTCCCTCAACAGGGCTTGTAGTCTGGAGGAAGGAAGGGAGCTGGCAGCAGTGGTAGCCTGCCTCCCTCCTATGCACAAAGTCCCGGCAAGTGCAAACCCTCTGCTTCGGCCGTGGCATCCCACTGCTGAAGAGGTTGTGGTGTTGCCTAAAACGTGGCTGTGCAGGCAGTTTGTGGAGGGGTTAACTCGGAAGAGATTTGATGGAACATTTCCCAACAATTCTGTCAACTCATAAATTCTAGCTGGTTAACAGAATTCAAACGCGTGTCAAAAAAATGCATGTCAAAAAAATGATAACTGTTTTAGTTAAGACATTTTTAAACTGTTCCGACTTCCATCTGAAATATGTAAGCTTAGAAAGTGGTTTTCTTAATGATGACACAGATCGCTGGTATTTGTTTAAAAAAAGCTCCGGCTAAACACAGCCCCTACCAAGGTGCTCTTTTGCTGGTCAGTGGCACTTTCCACTTCAGAGCAGCTGAGTGTTTATAGGTGGGCACCTGGCACAATGCCTGGGAGAACACAGAAGGCCTCTCAAAGATCTGTCAAATGAGATTGGGATCTTTAACCAGCAGGTACTGCCGTAGAACAGACTCTAACACCAGCTTCAAAACACCCTCCATTTAAACCAGCTGTGAGCTCCGCAGTACAGTGCACAGGCAGGACACATGCTTACCACCGAGGCCTCTGTGGGCCAGAGCAGACAAGGTGAGTGTGTCTGAAAAGTCTGCCCCCTAATGACCTCCCTGTTGCACAGTCCCAGAATTGGGTTTCACCACATAAGAGCAAAAACAGGAATTGGCTATATAGTGTTTCAGCTTTAGGAGGCTTTCACTTTGAGCCTGATTCCATTTCTCTGTTACTCAGGGCTTGGCAAGTGGCACCGCACCCCGAGCAAGGCTGTCCCTCAGCTGCAGGTTAGAGCACAGCTTTGTGTGAGTCGGCTGGTGACAGGCTGGAAACACAGAACCATGGTGGGAGGAAGGAGTGTGTGTGGCAGTTCTAAGTCATTGAAATTGCTGTTCTTTCTCCGCAGGCCATGTGGGGTGTCCCTGCTCTTACTCCTCTTTCCTGCATTCATCCTTTAGGAACCAGAGCTAAGGAGCACAGTTTGATGGCTAGGGCAAATGGCAAGGAGAATTGAATTCCTAAAATTGATGGTGGTAGTAGTGGCATACCACCTAAGAGAAGGCTGTTGTGAGATCCTTGCCATAGGCAGGGCCACTGAAACGTCATGGTACACTGAGTCCAGTGGTGTGTCAAAAAAAAAACGAGGAAAAGTATAGCAAGCATTTGTGAGAGTTTTCTTCCTGAGCAGCTGTTTTGAAATAGCTTTCTCTAAACTTTTATAATTTTTTAATAATTTTTATAAAATCAGACTTTATACAATATCTTGCTCATTGGGTTACATGGGAATTGACTAGAATCCTTTTATGCAGTTTTCTATGAAAATGTGTGGCACAATGCCAGGCTCTGGAAGAGACTTAGGAAATAAATAGCACGTGCAAGATGCTTTACGTTGTTGACCAGCTCCCTCTTGGTCCTAAGTAAATAAGCTATGAGAAAGTGAATATGAGTTCTAAACAGTGACTCTTTGTTAAAGCGGTTAGCAAAAGGTTATACATTCACATGTTGTAACAGTGTGATGAGAACATAAGTGTGTTACATAACTTCTCTGCATTCTTCTGAGTGTTTAAAGTACAAGTAAAAAGGAAAAACGATAGGCTTTAAAAAACACATTGAGGGGCGCGGCGCGGTGGCTCATGCCTATAATCCCAGCACTTTGGGAGGCCAAGGCAGGAGGATCATGAGGTCAGGAGTTTGAGACCAGCCTGGCCAACATGGCGAAACCCTGTCTCTATTAGAAATACAAAAATTAGCTGGGCGTGGTGGCAGGCGCCTGTAATCCCAGCTACTGGGGAGGCTGAGGCTGGAGAATCACTTGAACCTAGGAGGTGGAGGTTGCAGTGAGCCAAGATCGCACCATTTCACTCCAACCTGTGCAACAAGCCTGAAACTCCATCTCAAAAAGAAAAAAAAAAATTGAGAAATTACTATTTTACATGAGAATATCATCTGCCTGATTCAAACTAGAGATGAAACCACCTTTTCCCTCCTTACCTTTAATCTTCCTCAGAAAACACCACATTATACATTTCTTCCTCTTCCGTATTTATTTGCATGTTTATTTTAATAACTTCATTGAGGTATAATTTACCTCCAGTAAGTTCACTTATTTTAGGTGAATACGCTGATGAATTTTAGAAATTATACAGAGTGATGTAAACACCTCCATAATCAAGATAAGTAGGACATTTCCATCACCTTTAAAAATGCCTTCACGCTCTTTTGCAGTTGATCCCTTCCCTTAATCCCCAGCCCTGGGCAACCTCTGATCTGCTTTCTGTCACTATAGCTTTGTGTCACTACAAAACATTTTATATAAATGGAATCCTACTCTGTGTAGTCTGCTGTGTGTTTTCTTTCACTTAACCTTTTGGAGACTTATTTGTATTGTTTGGTGTTTTCATATTTCATCTCTTTTATTGCTGAGTAGTATTCAATAAGTATGGCTCTATGAAGTAAGAGAATATAAGCATATGTGTATGTGTAGGTGGTTCACGTGAGCATGTTCTCTTCCTCACCACTCCACTTACTGACTGCTCAAATGAATTAATTTAAGATGGCTCTTCATCTTTTGACAGTTTAACTTTTAAAATTTGACTATTCCTTTATTTCTTTTGCAAGTGAAGGTTATACTTACAACTTTAAATATTATTTATATTAAGCAATTTAGTTATCATGTGCCTTGATACCGTTTTCTTCATGATTCTTGTGCTTGAAGTTTGTTGAGCTTCTTTGATCTGTGAGTTTCTAGTTTTCATCAAATTTGGAAAATTTTTTGGTCATTATTTCTTCACATACTTTTAATCCATTTCCTCCCTTTCTGCTCTCCTTCAGTGACTGGCTCGTTGGTCTATCCTTCCTTCTTTCTTTCCCTTGTTTCTTTTGTCTTTTCTCTGTTTCATTTTAGGTCATTTCTATTGCAGGGTCATCAAATTCACTAGTCTTTCCTTCTACAATGTCTAGTCTGCTCTTATTCCCATTTAGCATAGTTTTCACCACAGGCATTATAGTTTATCTTTGGAAATTTGATTTAAATCTGTTGTTTAAAAAATATCTTCCATGTCTCTTAAGATGTTCATTCTTTTTTTCTAGCTTGGAGAACATGAAGAATACAGTTAGAACTTTTAGAGTCCCTGTCTGCTAATGTTATCATTTGTTGTTTCTGGCCTGTTTCTGTTGACTGATTTTTCTCCTCATTATGTGTTGTACTTCTCACTTCTCACATGCCTGGTCATTTTTAAAATTGGATACCAACTATTGTGAATTTTACCTTTTTGTGTGCTGGATTTTTTGGTATTGCTATAAACATCCTTGAGCTTTGTTCTTGGATGTATTAAGTTACTCAGAAACAGTTTGATCCTTTTGAAGTTTGCTTTTAAGCTTTACTAGGTAAGATGAGAGCAGGCGTTAGGGATGCTGTCGGTAGCCTTTCTGAGTACTCTTTCTGATGCCCTGTGAATTATGAGGTTTTCCACTCTGACTGGTGAGATTAGGCACTATGTCCGGTCCTGTGTGAGGCTCTGGGATTGTTTCCTTTGCTTCTCTCACGGGGTTCTTTCCCTGTTCTCAGTTTTCTCACATGCAAGCCCTTATCAGTGCTCAGTTGAAGATTTGGGGGACCATCTAAGATCTCTGCAACACTACCTCTGTGCAGCCCCCGTCTCTTTATTACCCTGCTCTGTGAGCCGCAATTGCCTTGAGACTCCCCAGTCTATCTTCTCAGCTCAAAGAGATGCTAGGCTCCTCCTGGGTGCCCTTTGCCTGCACCCCGGCCTGGAAACTGTCCCCAGGCAGTAAGGTGGGCTTACCTCGTTGGCTTTCCCTCTCTCAGGATCACTGTCCTTTGCTGCCTGACGGCCAATGACCGAAAACTACAGTTTCTATACTTTTTTCAGTTCTTTCGTTTTCATGGCGGAAGGTAAATGTAGTTCCTGTTATTCCATCTTCACTGGAAACGGAAATCCCAACCTAGTTTTTAAAACTTTTAATGAAATATTTTTAGCACTCAGGCAAGTGTATTGATTATGCAGATAGCCATGACTCGTTTTTATAGTTTTGTCATTTTTCCACTGTATTTTTAAAAACAAAGTAGTACAGATACAATTAAAATCCTCTTTTTTTTTCCCAGACAGAGTCTCACCCTGTTGCCCAGGCTGGAGGCCGCAATCTCGGCTCACTGCAGCCTCTGCCTCCCACGTTCAAGCAATTCTCCTGCCTCAGCCTCCTGAGTAGATGGGGTTGGTTACAGGTGCCCGCCACCGCACCCAGCTGATTTTTGTATTTTTTTTAGTAGAGACGGGGCTTCACCATGTTGGCCAGGCTGGTCTCGAACTCCTGATCTCAGGTAATGCACCTGCCTTGGCCTTCCAAAGTGCTGGGATTACAGGCGTGAGCCACTGCACCTGGCCTTTGATGTGAATCTTTCTGAAAAAAGACGCACATTTGCACTGATGGTGCAAAGGCAATAGTGAGTAAATGGGGCAGGGCCTTGGCACGAATTGAGGTAGTGGCACCAAACTCTACTAGTAGTCATTGTGTTCTTCATTTCCATATACTTCAAGGAAAAAAAAAAAAAAGCCAGCTTCACTAAAGAATGACCTTGAAGAAGCAGTAAAAATTACTTATATTATTAAATCTCAACCCTAAATATCTTGTCT